TGCTCATGCCAAAATCCACGTCATCTTTTTTCTTGTTATCGTTTTTTGGGCTCCCGACAACAATCCCTTGACCAAGGACGAGGCTTGACTAAATTCTTAGGAGGGGGGTTATTATACAACCCCACTTGGACATGCTTACACTGGCTTACACAACTTTTGGTTCGTTGGCACATATTACTTCATTGACCGCTGGCTGGAAGCTAAGGACCAGTACATGCCCTGGACATGCATAGCAAGAAAGGAGGCACGATCAACCCGCGCGCAATGTTGTACATAAAGGAGGTCGCAGTCGTACTCGAAGTCAGACATGAAGCTCAGGAAGGTGTGCTAAAACATTTCCCAGCGCTCTAAGCTTCACAATTAAAATGCCCTGGGCTTTCAGTTCATGATGCTTTCAAGCCATAAACCTGGTTTGAATAGCCTGCGCGGGATTTTGGCACCTTCTCTTCAATTTGGCGCTGTTGCGTCTTCGTTTTGGCCTAAGGGGTTAAATATCACAGTTAACTACATAGGGATTATTCTGGGAGCTTTTCTCACAGGTTGCCCAGGCCTACGACGAGGTCTGCGATGAAGGAGTCCTTTAAAGGCTTTAGCTTTTTGTCGGGCTGCGGCACACTGGCAGCTCGGGCAAAGCTGATCCTCAGTCTCGCCAGACCGGTGGGACACCATGACACCCCAGCCAGCGTTCTGCGACATTGTGGCCGCCTGCTGCAAGCTGCAGGTCGGCACCCGCAGTCTCTTCTGCTGATGTCCACTACGCTTCTTGTCATTCAGGCCTCGATTGCCTCCGTAATTGACCCAATCTGATTCACCTACAGGCATCAACGGCTTGTCCAAGCACATCAGGGCACTGCTGGAGCAGCCTTCAAGAGAAGCGCATTGCAAGCTCCAACTTCCAGGGCCTCGACAGACACTTTGTCAGCACAAGCAATGCTACATAAGAAGAGGATCGCGCCTTCTTGACGCGTGTTGGGTTTGTCACAAGGAGGTCATCGCCAACAATTTGAACCCGTGGTCCAACCTGCTTCTCCAATTTGCAGCACGCAACCGAAGAACACAACTGCTGGAATGTGCTGGGCAAGAAGGTGCGGCTTTGGCGCAAGGCCTCTGACATGAAGTGCTTGTACGCATCCCAGTCATCCTGGTCAAATGGGTCCTGCACATCGGTCGCAGAGAATTCTGCAAAATATGTTTGCCCTCAGGAACTCTGGTACTCCTCAATGGACACGAAGGGGTACTTATCCAGCCATGCCTTGTAGTATTCAGCCAGCTGCTGAGCACTCTTCTTCATTTCCTTGATCAGAGCAGGAGCATGCAATTGTGTTGCGGCTGGCAAAAGCTCCTAATTGCTTCCATTTCCACTGACTGTTACATGCAAATTGATATAATGTCCCGTAATCCATCCAAGGGGAGATTCAACCCGCTACAAAATTGCAACAAGCATCTGCAGGGCTGCTCGGGTTCTTGAAATCCAAGTCATATGTTTTGGCTTCTGCGCTGTAGAACTCAGAGGCTGCCACATCCGTTCCGATCTTGACCTGCAATTTCTCAGGGCATGGCAGCGTGGACCAAACCACATGCATGAGTCGCATTTGCCGGTCCTTGGCACTGTGGCCTGACTTCTCAATAGCCTCCATCAAAACATCAAGGGCCTGTCATAAAAAGGCACGAAACAGGCGTGATCCACACCATAAATCTGAAAGAGTGGTGCACCTCATTGTTGTCTTGCACATTGGGCGCAAAGCCACCTTCATCACCGACATTGCAGGCCTTTGCAAGCAAAACGCTAGATATGTAACGCTTGCTCTGCTGAGTCACACGGCACGTGTCATGTACCTGAAGAGCTGCCCAAAGACATCTTGCCCGTACTTCTTCTTGATAACGCTCTTCAAGTTGTGATAGACTTCAGCTCCGATCACCATGGCTTCCTTGAAAGACGCTGCTCCCACCGGCAGGATCATAAACTCCTGGCATGCTAAGCGATTCCCGGCATGGCTGCCGCCGTTGATGACGTTGAACGATGGCACTGGCATCACGAACTTGTCAGTGCTCTTGCCAGAGATCTTGGCCTGCACCGCCATTGCGCTCCAAGGTCGAATTACGGCCGGTCTGATCTGAACTTAAACATGTGTCTCAAACAGCTGAGCCAGGGACTATGTATTGATAAAGCGGCATGCCACTTGCAGCTGCACCAGCACGGCAAACAGCCATGGAAACAGCCAAGATGGCATTGGCACCAACTTTGGATTTGCTCCTGAGATGGGACAGGAACTCTGCCATTTTTACATGCATCTGTTGAATGCCAGGCCTGCGCCCGTTTCCATGCCAGCAAGATGGATACTATTCTTGGCGCCCTGCCAGCCCCACTCGTTCTTGGAGCCATCAATCCTTTGCAGGTCGGGGAATCCTATTGACACCATGAGATGCAAAGCGTGTGCATTCAGACTTTAGCTCCGCCAGGGCACTCTTCCACCATGAGCTTGTCAATTCTGCTTTGGTCGGTGACGTCCATGCCAAGAAGCTTTGGGGCAAGAATGTCGTTTACGTTCGCAACCGCTTTCAGCACACCTTGCTTGCAAGCACTGGGACAGGCAACGCAGAATCCAATCCACCTTGCAAACAGCAACTGCTGCATGTCATTGACCTTTCAGGACATCCAAGGCACCCTTGCCCAGCAATCGGCCTTTGTCACCATCCCGCAGTTCCAAAGCCTCATAAATTCCGGTTGAGGCGCCGCTGGGCACGGCAGCACGGAATAAGGCCTCAAAGGTCCGCCGAACACATTGAACACCACTGGCTCTTTTGCGCAAAACGAAACACCGGAAAAATGCGAACTGAATTGGTGCCAGGCCACAGTCCCGGTGCAAAGGTCCACCTCGACCGTGGGGTTTCCACGCGAGTCAAAGATCTCTCGTGCTTTGACAGCCATGATGGTCTTCGAGTCAGGGGCAGCGGGGGCACCTGCCAGATCAAACAAGTTGCGGCACTAAGTGAACAAACTAAGAGAATCAATGCCGCTGCCTGCTGGTGCGGCAACTTTCGTCTGGTTCTTCACAGCTTCTGCAGCCGCTTTGATCTCATCAAGGTTGCCTTGCTTGCCAACCGGAACCGGATGTATGAGGGGATAGCTTCGGCAGGTTGAGACAAGTCACCGAGGTACTTTCCAAATTTCAGCGGCGCAATGGCATCTGCACTTGCAATCGGCTTCAAATCCTCGCATACTGCTTCTATAACGAGCTCCTGAAGTGGATGTTATGCAACGCTGCCCGTCCGCATCCAGGCTATACATCAGCGGACGCCCCGTTGGGATCTCGAGCCCTGAAGCACTCAGCTTGGAGATGCTTGGCATGATTACTCCTGGTGGCTACGAAAGCTCACAATACCCAACATTCTCTGCACAACACAAGGTGCCATGCTGTCTGCCGCACTGCTGATGCATATGCACACGTGCTACCACCATCGACGGCAAGTACCAGAGCCAGCAGCACCAAAAACACCATGCCCACAGCAGCAACCACCAACAGCAAGAGAACAAGAAGAGGAAGAACAGAACCGACACTAGTAAAGTGTTCTACTCTTGCAGTGTTTTTAGCTCTTTCAGTGTTACATGAGCTTCCTGTGACTAGCGTGGTTGAAGTGTAGGTAGCATGGGTAGCTACAAGTCTTCGTCATTCCTCATCGTGTTGCTAGTGCCCTATGCTGTTGGCGGCTTGTGGGTCATTGTTGACAGTGAGACCCTGCCCTGGAGGTATCCACGCTGTCCGCACTTCGAGCAACCCTTCAATGCGAGCCTCCACGCCCTTTCAACGGCATGACTACTTTTCCCAGGGTGCACTGGTCCCCTTCTCCCTGCCTGTGATGTCATCATCAGAGATGCCCTCCAAGAACTTGAGGATAGCACGGATGGAGTTTCCGTGCGCCGCTACAAAAACGGTCTTTCCTTTTTTGAGCTCTGGTGCGATTGTGGATTCCCAGAATGGCATCACCCGTGCCTTATGCAGAGGGGGATTGCTCTCTGCAGCTCTTTCAGCATGTCCTAAATAAAGCCTGCCCTGCATATATTCGCAGACCCACATACCAAGCAATGCAAAGCCATGCCGCAATCGTATCCTTGAGGCACTCAGTCTTGGGAATGTCTGCCTTGTTGAGGGCAGCATACCTGAACTCAACAAACGGCACGGCAAAGCTATTTGAGCCCTGGCTTGCTGAATGCTGCGAAGCAGCTTCTTCTCCTGATCCAAGGATGTTAAAACATCTTCCTACTTTCAACATGTTTTCTGTTCTACGCCCGTCCTTGGCAGGATTGAATTCGCTATCATCATCAATGGGCGGCGGCGGAACGTCAAAGCTACGTCGCCAAACTTGGACCTGCTCAGCTCCGTGTTTCTTCACGGTCTCCTGAAGCACAGGGGCAAGCCTTTCTTGCACCAGCTGTGGCCACAGTGGCCACAGTGCTGCAGTCCTTCTTGTCCAGCCCAGTGAGGCCACCATACATGCGCTCGTTCAGTCGCCAGCTCTTCTCCACTGGCACATGCAATTGGTCAGCAGATTCCAATGCCAAATCGCAAGTCTTGATTGCTCCTGGGACAAGCGAAGCATAGGCAGAAGATGCTGCAGCACTGACAGTACTCATCAGCCATAGGACTGCAAGCACCAGGCCAAGGTGCGCTTCAGGTATGAGGTGAACGCCATGTCCACCTTGAGGCCTTCGGACTTCAGCAAGGTGCCCGCGCTTTTGGCTTCGCCCAAGCCTTTTGCAGACAGATCGACCTGACATGGTGCGCTACACTGATGCAAGTCAGGAGGCTGCAAGATCCTGCACACTCAATGAGCAACTTGCAGCAAAGGAATTAATTAAGTCCGAGAAGCGTCTACCCATCCAGTAAACCTGTTATCAACGTTCCATTGGGACTCTCCATGCCGAGAGAAAATCAGCGTGGCGTGTGGCTTAGCCATGGCACGTGAGGCGCGGTGAGGCGCGAGACGCACAAAAAATGCAGATGTTGCCTGCTTCTTCTGGGCCTGAGGTAGCGACGGGAATGGCATGACTCCACCCCCCACCTGCCAGCAGCCGAATCTCTTTGCAGCTGCCCTGCCTATCAATTGCAGTCAGTGCAGCCTCAGGAACTTGCCCACTCACCCCAACCTCCTTTTCTTCACATTTTGTGGCAGCAGAATGCGGCTTGGCAAGTGTGAACGTGTCATGGCCAATGCGCATCCAGCTGAGGCGAAACAGGTGGTGCGATCCTCGCAGATGCTACACATGGGTTACGCCACGCTTGAAGCTGCCGGTCTTCTGCACTTTTACTTCTACCTGAGTTGCGCGCACGGCTGCTTCTTGTCTTGAATATGTCACATCTATAATGTCCCACCCATTTGTCGGCGCTGGCGTTCACAGACAAGAGGCAAACAGTTCCTGTAAAGAAGCCGAAACCACTGCACCATCTTCTCCCAGTATCTGCGAAACGTTCCTTGGGCAACCACTAATGTTTGCTGACAAACTCCAGCACGTCTTGCCGCCGTTATATTTCGGCTTGAATATATCCAGGCATCCAGCGATGAAGATGGTTCCAGATCAAGAAGCTTCCAGATCCTTGTGATTCATCCGATACCCTGTGTGTGACAGGAATGCTGTAGCGGGTGCACCATCATGTCCAAAAAAACACCGAATGCATTAAGGCTTCCAGTCACATCGAAGCCCCACTGATGCTGACCATCGGAAAGCGATGTCCATTTCTCGGGGTGAACATTCCTACCGCCAAGCTCAACACGTGAAATGCGTCCCCACTTTTACGCCGTTGGCTTTACACCGTTAGAGGCCGGGTCCTGAGATGGCTTAGCAGAAGCTGGCCATCTGGGCGCAGCACCCATAGGAGCATCTTCAGCCCACGTAAGGGATGTACCGTGTGATCCAGTGCGTTACTAACATAAACCACATGGAAGTAATCCCGGGGATAGACTTGCCAGAGTTCTTCCACATCGCAGTACCTCAGCAGCACTCTCATCATCATCCTGTCCATGGAATGCAGCTTGCTGACCGGCACACTGCTGGCTGGTTCAGCCCTTCAGAGACGCAAAAGACTCCAAAAATGCTCAAAAAAAATTCGCGGAGCATCTCCTAAACATGGCTTGAAAGTAACAAGTAACAGCACAATGACCATGATGCAAAGGCAAGGCTCTCCGGGAAGCCCTCTGGGGGATGGAAGTCAGTCTCGAGGGCAATTTGCCGGTACAGCCGCGAGAAGGCATCGCAGGAGACCGTCTCGATGCTGCAGTGAGCACATTCGAAGCGCCGCGTTGCAGCAATGGGGCCGGAGCCAAGGACGAGCACCCGTATCCTGACCAGCTCGAGAGATTTCATGGCAGTTTGGGCAAAAGCAGCCTCAACGTAGGATCAATCCCTAGAGCTCTGAACCCCTTCGAGTATCGAGTATCAAGCTGCCGGATTGGATTTCTCCCCCCAGATTTTGCACGTTGCCAGCGAACTCACAGAAGTCGCGCCGACCTGCTTCCCGTAACTTCTTCAGCTGCTCGGGGGCATGCCTCATCTTCTGTTCCCAATACTTTCGGTTGTCCCATGCACCGAGAGCCCATGCCAGACGCATGTGCACCTCCATGTGATTCTGTATGCCACTTCGAGACCAGGGTATTGAATCGTGCAAGGTGGAGCCAGCGACGTGGCGCACAAATGGCAATCCTCGCCTGGGTCGCAACCATCGAAAATTACAGCCTTGCTCTATGAAGAGCTGAAAGTTGGCAGAGAACTCCGCCAGAGTAATAGGCCAGTCACTTGCGTCAATGCAGTGAGTCACCATTCCAAGCGCTCTGAACGCGACCATAAAGAAGGAGAGGGCTGGGTCTTGGTCATGAGGGATCTCAGAGTGCACAGCCATGTTGCAGGACTTCATCGTCTCTGCAAGCGCGCACATGGATAACAGGAGGGCAATCCCTGCAAAGCAAGATAGGTGGGCCAAGCGGCGATTGAAGCGCTCTGTATGCAGCATCTCCACACTTAATCCAGCGCGGAAGAGGCCATTATAACAAAACTGTTCTACAGCAACCAAGTCCAAAGCATCCAGTGCAAGCGCTTGGTCAAACAGCCAAGCACAGGTCGGTCCAGAATGAGCGCACGTGATGCCTTCAGCTTGTACTTCTGGCTGGAGACTCTCAAGGTAGTCTTGACCTCGGCCCGGTTTTGCAAGAGTTGGACTAGCAGGCAAAGAATGCTAGTAATAATAATAAGAATAACCACAGTAAGAATAGTAATGATCATAATAATGATGAGTCTGCAAAGCAGGCTGGGCAGCGTGCAGCATGCTTCGAAGGTGTAAGCCTGCGCTGCCAACACCCTTATTCCCTGCTCAGAACCCCAATATATACCCCATTATTATGCAGGAGCTTCCATTTTCCATTATCCCTATATAACCTTCTGAAAGAATGCTACGCTCGCGCAAGCCAAGATGACAAGAAAAGCAGAAGAGATATGAACAGATCACTGTCCGTCTCAAAGGGGTCTATATGAGGTTCCAAGGATTTTTTGGCAGAAGGTAAGCATACTGTCATGCCTGGTCTGGAGGAAAGCAGATTGCTCTTCCTGCAGGGGGAGATGGATCCCATATCTCAGTCCGCATGTCATCCGCATCGGCCCCCATCATGGTCCCTAGAACCCATTCCCAATTGAGCATGGGTAGGCTTCGGCACTGTCAAATGAACCGCCAAGCACCAAGCCCGCCCTCAGCATGTCCTGCGTCATTGCAGCAAAATTCTGGCTGCACCCTCCCCACCCAGCATGAATCCACCAGCGCCGACATTGCGCATCTGCATAGCTGAGTGGCAGGCGCGCACCACTAGGCAGTGATGATTGCTCGTGGCGGTTGCTTCTTACTTGCCAGTCATTTTACAGATGCAAAGAAGCATGGCCTTGTGCCCACAAATCGCCAATGAAATCCGGCAGCGGCCAAAGGTGCAAACAAACACATCGCGGGTGCCACCATCCTTCCTTCAACGCATGACTAACTCCATTGCTCCTGCACAATCCCAGCTTTCCACAGCTCGCAGGCAGTGGGCACCATCGGAGAGTCAAGCTAAATCCCACCATGAAAGCAATGTACCAGCTTTTTGCTGGCACCGTCACGCTAATGTCGAACAGCAGGTTTAGACCCAAAGTGCTGGCCGGCTTTGCTCACTGTTTCACATCTTGATCTTTGACCACGGCTCCAAGAAGCCTGATTGATACGAGGGCAGGCTGAACAAGGGCTGGCAGTCCTATGCCTTGATACTTCACAAGTTCGGCCGCTGATGGTCACCTTCCAGAGGGCAAGTCTCTGAGCATACCCATTATTCCCTATACAATCCCTGTAAGTGAAGGTCCCTCGCGAATTCTGAGTGGACTTATAGGTCCCTGAAGTAGATAGATTATGGGCGGGTATATTATGATAAGATAGATCCCCATATACCCCATATTCTGTCTACCTGAACCCTGTAAACCCTAAACCCTATAAACCCTAAACCCGTAGTATCCTTTAAGCCCGTTATCGCCTCTTCCCAAGTCTCCTGTCTGGATTGCGTCAGCGGGCCCTGCAACAGCCAGGGGCTGACTCACCCGTCTACACCCAGGTTTTGGGTTTTAGTGTTTTACTCCGCGCAGCAGAAGGCACATCATCAGAACTGCGGCCCTATGGTTTCTACAGCCACGTCTTTGATGACAGCTGAGCTAACGCCCTGAATGCAAAATGCCAAGCTCTTGTAGAAACTCCAGCTTCTGGAAATCTGAAACACCCCAAACTCTACACACCCGCAGACATCCCTATGCTACCCTTTATGCCGGCAAACGACCCAACCCCACAAAAACCCATATTACCCCACATATCATTATATTACCCTATACGCCCCCAAATATCCGTGACCTGCATGGCCCTTACACCCCCGCTGGCCCTCAACCCTAAACCTCTTGTCTCCTTAGACCTATTATGAACAAATCTTATTTTCAATGACTGCCCATAATTTTACGGCTTCGTTTTTTTTAAACATCCGGGCACATAAACAACCAAACAGGTATGTTATACTACCTCCGCGAAGCATGGCATCCGGCCGCCCACGATGACAACATCCGGAATTAAGTAGCTGGATCCCTCCAGCCATCCGCCAGCCCTCCAGCCACGCCCCACGACCCCTGCTCCGAATATTTTTCTCCAGCCCTCCTCCACTCCGCCACGCCCCTCTGCGACCCCCTCCGCGAGCCCTATGGCCCCAGCACACCACAGACGCTCCTCCCGCCGCACCCCAGGCCCCTCCAACCACAGCCACACCCCTCCCCGCCTTGCCCCCTTCAGCCACTCCTCCATCTATCCTCCAGCTCCACGGCTCAGCCACCCTGGCCACACCAGCCCCAGCCACGAACCCTCTAGCACGACCCCGCAGCCACACCTCCTCAAACGCACGGCATGCCCCAACCTTGTCCAGCCACACCGGCCCCCAGCCACCTCCCTTCAGCCACACCTTCCCTCCTCCAGCCACTTTGAACGCCAGGCTTGTCGCAAAACACAATCAATCAAACGCCGTACAAACACCAGGGTTTGGGTTTGAGACTCCGCACTTCGATGTTTAGCTCTCGTGCTCTGAACGCTTACGTGTTCAGATGTCATCTCTCAAAGCTTCAGGATCTAAATTCAGGGGGTTTGGGGGGAAATAGGTTCAGTGCTAAGGGTCCATGAGAAGACAAGTATATACATATATAATATTATATATGGATGCGCGGATGCGCCGGGATTGCGCAACTCATTTTCTGATAGAACACGTATCGATATTCTACAAGATTATTGCACGTGGTTTGCTTAGCAACAATGGCTTCCAACTTGCGCAGGCGCATTCTGGCCCAAAACCTGCCAGGGCCAACAGTCCCTTCATGTAACCCTGTATTTCCTGGCATGTTGGATCACTGGCGGCATGTTGAAGGG